GTTGTCTGTAAATTAATGTGTATTGAGAGTAAAATCCAGACTAGCAATTGCCTTGCTGGCAATTATTAGTTAGATTTCTTCCGTTGACTTACATGTTTACATAATATCCAGATTATTTAAGGATTTAATTATCTGATGGCAATCACAGAGTTTCAAATAATTAAGAAGTTCAAATCTGTTTGACTATTTTAGTGACTTAATTCATGTCGTCATCTGTGCTCTCCCTGAAGTCAGGTCCTTGGCTCATCATCTGCTGATACTTCTTCCTGAACCACTTTCTTGGCAACTTTGTAAATGCTTATTTGGCCTTATCTTCCACTCTAAGGAGCAGGATGAGAAGGCAGGTCCTTAAGTCTACCTCAGTGGGAACTGAAATCAAATCCACACTCTGTGCGTAATTTTAAACCACAAGCTAGATATCAAGCTAACTGAGCTAACCAGCTCCTTCTGTGATTTATTGCATTGAGTTTTATCTGGTTTCTAACTGGTAACTGCTGCTTGGCCTTGTTAATTTGAATGAGTGAAGAATTGAAAAATACCCATTTATTCAGTTAACTACGCCGTTGATCTTGTCAATTCAAGGCTTTCTATGTTAGCTTGACAGTATGTATTGTAACTGTAGGTTGAGACAACTGACTTCCAATTAAGTCAACTTGATTCAGTGGTAATGTTTAGATTTGTGAAGTTATTACTTTCCTCAAAATTGTCTCGCTGGAAAGCAGTGTGTCCATTGACTAGTGAGGGTGATAGTCTTTTGCAGTTTACTTGCATGCCCTTTGGGTAAAAAGTTAAATCGAAACCTTTCTGTCCTCTGAACATAAGATTTTGTGGCACTATTTCAGAGAATAGTGGAGGGTTATTCCCAATGTTCTGGCCAATATCTCTCCTTCAATTAAAATTCCTAAACAGATGATTTAGTCGTTATTACATAGGAACTTGCTGTACTTAAATTGGCTACTGCATTTTCTATGTTATAATAGTGACTACCATTCAAACGTGTTTAATCGGCTACAAAGCACAGGATATGTTGTGATCATGGAAGGTACTATATATAAATGAAAGTTCTTTTGGATCATCACCAACCACCCTTTAATAGATTCCTCCTAATCTCAGTTGTAAAAGGTCAACCCTTTACTCTGAGGCTCAGATCCTAGTCTCTCTCACTAGTGGAAACATCTTTTCCAAACTCTATTGAGGCTTCTCCATATCTGTAAAATTCATTCCCCGCTCTCCGCATCCCCCCGCCCTGGCCCCATATTTCTCCATCAGTATAGACCCAACTCCTCATATGACAAGCCCTTCAAGCCTGTCACCGTTCTTGTCAACCTCCTCTAAATCCCTTCAAAAGCCAACACATCCCTCCTTAAGTACAGGTCTCAAACTGCTCACAGTATTCCAAATGCAGAATGACCATAGCCTTATACAGCCTCAGCAGTGCATCACTGCTCTTGTATTCTAGCCCTCTGGAAATGAATGCTAATATTGCATTTGCCTTCCTAATTGCCAGCTGAATCTGCGTGTAGACATTAAGAGAATCCTGAATTAGGAATCCAAAGACTTGACAGGATAGATGCAGAAAGGTTGTTTTCCCCGGTGGGAGAGTCTAGGACCAGAGGGCATTATCTCAGAATAAGGGGTCACATATTTAAATCAAAGAGAGAACTTCATCTCTGAGGGATATGAATCTGTGGAATTTAAGACTGAGATAGACAAATGGGAATAGAGGGTAAAAACTGAAAGAAGTCAGAACTGTTCTGAAGAAGGGTAACTCGATTTAAAACATTAACTCTGATTTCTCTCCAGAGATGCCAGACCTGCTGAGCTTTTGCAGCAATTTCTATTTTGGTTTGGGAATAGAGTGTTTTGGGGAAAAGGCAGGAATGTAGAGTTGAGGATTATCAGATCAGCTATGACCTCATTGCATGGTGGAGCAGACTCAAAGCTCTAAATGGCCTACTAGTGCTCTGTATCTTAGGGTTTAAGAGAGATTTTGAAACCATTTTACAGTCAGTCTGGAGGACACTCTTTAGGGGAAGTGGGAATAGGATCACGTGGAAGAATTTTACAGACAGTAATATGATTTTGAAGTAGGTCTTGTGAATTTTATAGAGTCGCATAGGAAACTGCACGGAAACAGACCCTTTGGTCCAACTCGTCCATGCCAACCAGATATCCACAATTAATCTAGTCCCATTTGCCAGCATTTGACCCATATCCCTCCAAACCCTTCCTATTCATATGCCCATCCAGGTGCCTTTTAAATGTTGTAATTGTATCATCCTCCATGACTTCATCTAGCAGTTCATTCCATATATGCACCACACTGTTCATGAAAAAGTTGCCTCTTAAGTCCCTTTTAAATCTTTCCCCTCTCACCTTAAACCTATGCCCTCTAGTTTTGCACTCCCGTACTCTAGGGAAAAAACCTTGACTATTAACCCGATCCATGCACCGCATGATTTTATAAACTTCTATAAGGTAACCCCTCAGCCTCTGACACTCCAGGGAAGACAGCCCCAGCCGATTCAGCCTCTCCATATAGCTCAAACCCTCCAACCCTGGCAACATCTTTATAAATCTTTTCTGAACCCTTTCATATTTAACAACATCTTTCCTATTAGCAAGGAGACCAGAACTGAACACAGTATTCCAAAAATGCTCTAACCAATGTCCTGTACAGCTGCAACATGACCTTCCAACTCCTATACTCAATGCACTGACTAATAAAGGCAAGCATACCAAACACCTTCTTCGCTACCTTGTCTACCTGTGACTTCACTTTCAAGGAACTATGAACCTGCACTCCAAGGTCCCTTTGTTCAGCAACACTCCCCTGGATCTTACCATTAATGATTTGGATAAGGGAACAAAATATAGCATCTCAAAGTTTGCAGATGATACCAAGTTGGGTGGGAGGGTGAACTGTGAAAAGGATGTCGATATCCCTCATGATCTGCACAGATTGGGTGAGTGGGCAGATCAATGGCAGATGCAGTATAATTTGGATAACAATGAGGTTATTCACTTTGGAAGCAAAAACAAGAAGGTAGATTACTAACTGGCTGTAAATTGGGAGAGTAGACTGTGCAGCGGGACCTGGGTTGTCTTTGTGTACCAGTTGCTAAGGGTAAGCATGCAGGTGCAGCAGGCAGTAAAAAAGGCAAATGGTATGTTGGCCTTCATTGGAAGCGATGTTGAGCACAGGAGCAGGAATGTGTTGTTGCAATTATAAAGGGCCTTGGTGAGGACACAGCTGATATTGTGTGCAGTTTTGGTCTCCTTTTCTGAGTAACGATGCTCTAGGCTTCGAGGGAGTGCAGCAAAGGTTTACCAGGCTGAATCTGGAAATGGTGGGACTGACGTCTGACAAGAGATTGCCTAGGTTAGGATTGTTTTTGCTGGAGTTCAGACGAATGAGAGGGGATCACATAGAGACTTATAAAATTCTAACAGGACTAGAGAGGGTAGATGCAGGGAGGATGTTTCCAATGGTGGGTGTGTCCAGAACTAGGGGTCACAGTCTGAGGATTCAGAGTATACCATTTAGGATGGAGACGAGGAGACATTTCTTCACCCAAAGAGTGGTGAGCCTGTGGATTCATCACCACAGGAAGTAGTTGATGCCAAAACATTGAATGTGTTCAAGAAGTGGCTGGATATAGCACTTGGGGCAAATGGGATGAAAGGTTATGGGGCGAAAGTTGGATTAGGCTATTGATTTGGATGATTAGCCATGATTGTGATGAATGGCAGAGCAGGCTCGAAGGACCAAATGGCCTCCTCGTGCTCCTGTCTTCTGTGTTTCTATGAATTAAGTGTATAAGTCCTGCCTTGATTTATCCTATCAAAATGTAGCACTTCGCATTTATCTCTATTAAATTCCATCTGTCATTCCCTGGCCCATTGGCGTATCTGATCAAGGTCCCATTGTACTCTGAGGTAACCACCTTCACTGTCCACTACACCATCAATTTTGGTGTCATCTACAAATTTACTAACCATATCTCCTATATTCACATCCAGATCATTTATATAAACGACAAAAAGCAGTGAACCCAGCACCGATCCCTGTGGCACACCACTGATCAAAGCCCTCCAGTCCAAAAAGCAACCTTCCACCACCACCCTCTGTCTCCTACCTTCTAGCCAGTTTTGTATCCAAATGGCTGGTTCTCCCTGTATTCTATGTGATCTAACCTTGAATATTCATTAAAGATAGACAACCCTAATCATATTTTGCTCAAAGGAAAAGAATTATGCTTCTGCGCAGTGATAAACAATGAAACTGCCAGCACCTACCCAACTGATGAATTTCTAAATTCAGTAATTCTTCAAAGGAGTTTTGCTGAGTCCATGCCACTTTTTCTTCAAAAGGTAAGAGGATGGTTGGCAAAAGTAGACAACTCTAAAAGAGCAGCTGTTCTATTTTAATCTAGCTCAATTATGTTGCACTATATCACTTGCTATATGGAATTTGGGAGATTAACGTTCCTGAAACCAGCTTCTTGCTGATAGAGCAGAAAATAAGAGGATTCAGTATTGACTTTTAGGCCAGTTAATATCTGACAGCAGAGCAGGCTGTACTTAACTTCAAAGTGCATTTTATAATAATTTTGCATGAAGTCAACAGATAAAGGTGGTCTTCAAGTATCTTCTGGCTACGTTGAAAGCCACACTACCTAATTTGCTTTGAGATGATGGTTGTTTGTACACAGTGCCTTGATGACCCAAAAATTTCTTCCAGGTTGTGAAATTGATCATGTACTACCTGCCAAACAGTATGTCACATCAGCTGAGCAGTTCCTTGATGTCGAATTGTGTAGGTCATTGAATCATTTGATGGTAATTTCGTTCTGTTTATTCAGGGTGAGTTGGTGACTGCATCAAAGGCAATCATTGAGAAGGAATATCAACCACGGGTAATCGTGAGCACTGCCCCAAATCCCTTCAACAAACTGACAGACCGTGAACTTGATGAGTACCGGAAAGAAGTTGAACGCAAGCAGAAGGGGCCTGAAGGCAAGTTGTTAATAATTGTTTTAAAAACCTGTTGATTTGATTTTTGTTTTAGACTTGTTAAACATTAAGTGTAATCTGATTTAACTAATAGCCTGTTCAGGTATACTTTGTACACGTGATACAGTCAAACAGCTGCAGATTGGTACTTTTCAGCACTATTATATCTAAAGCAGTTTAGCACGAAAAATTTAAATCAGTTTTGATCAGTTGTTTGCCATGACAGTTTGTCCCAATAGCAGCTACTTCCACCTCGCAATTTTGAGGCAACATCTGTTTGGGAAAGAGGTTGCTCAGTTTCTGTTTTATTAAATTGTGGTGCAGTCAAATAGCTGCAGATTGCATAAATGCACTACACCTGATTAAAACGGTACTTGGTACTTTTCACCACTTTTACGTCAAAAACAGATTAGCACTAAAAATTTCCTTCCCTAAAGGACATCAGTGAACCAGATAGGATTTTCAACAGCTGACTGTGGGTACATGGTTGCCATTAAGCTACTTTTTGTTCCAGAGTTTTTTTTCCTATTGAATTTCTATCTAGAAGGAATTGATAGATATAAATCAAAAGGCAATCTGAATGTGTCACATGCTGGTTTAAAACAAAACATATATTACTGCTGAAGGGTCAGAAGAAATTGGAAGAGGATTGAGGTATCGCTTCATACATCTGAAGGTGATTTCAGATCTGATCATTGCTGTCACTGATGCATGGTTGAGAGAGGGGCAGGATTGACAGCTCAATATTCCAGGATGTAGAGTCTTCAGGGAAGAAGGTAAAACGGGAATGGGTGTCATAATATTGATCAGGGAATGGAGTAGAGCAGTGAGAAGGAATAACGTGTTAGAAGGCTCCTCATATGAAGCCATATGGGTAGAACTTAAAAACTAAAATGTTGCAATCATATTGCTGGGAGTGTACATAAGCGCCCTAACAGTCCAAGAGAAATAGAAGAGCAGAGACGCACACATGGGCAAATTTCAGAAGTGTAAAAGTAATACGGTCGTGATTAATAGGATCATTTAAATATACCTGTGTCCATTGGAGACCTGCAGGGATCAGTGTCGGGCCGTTGCAGTTTGTAGTATATATAATCAATTTAGACTTGAATATGGGAGCGCTGATCAGTAAGTGTGAGCTTGATACAAAAACTGATGATGTGGTAAATAGTGAAGAGGATAGCCTTAGATTACAGGATAAAGAGTCACACAACACGGAAACAGGCCCTTTGGCCCAACCCATCCATGCTGACCAGGTTTCCTAAACTTAAGTATCCCAATTTACCTGTGTTTGGCCCATATCCCTCTAAACCTTTCCTATCCATGTACCTGTTCAAATGTCTTTTAAATGTTGTAATTGTACCTGCCTCTACCACTTCCTCTGGCGCTCGTTCCATATATGCACCACCCTCTGTGTGAAAAAGTTGCCCCTCTGGTCCCTTCTACATAAGAACACAAGCAGTTGGAGTAGGAGTAGGCCATCTGGCCCATCAAGCCTGCTCCGCCTTTCAATAAGATCATAACTAATCTTTTCATGGACTCAGCTCCATGTTCTGCCTGCTCACCATAACCCTTAATTCCTTTGCAGTTCAATAATCTATCTATCTTTGCTTTTAAAAACATTCAATGAGTTAGCCTCAACTGCTTCACTGGGCAGGAAATTTCACCCTTTGAGTGAAGAAGTTCCTCCTCAACTCTGTCCTAAATCTACTCTCCCTAATTTTGAGGCTGTGCACCCTAGTTCTAGTTTTGCCCGCCAGTGGAAACAACCTTTCTGCTTCTATCTTATCTAATCCCTTCATAATTTGTTTCAGTAAGATTCCCCCTCATTCTTCTAAATTCCAATGGGCATTGTGCTAATCTACTCAATATCTCCTCATAAGCCAACTCTGTCAATTCCGAATCAACCTAATGAACCTCCTCTGTATTCCCTCCAGTGCCAGTACATCCTTTCTCAATTAAGGAGACCAAAACTGTACACGGTACTCCAGGTGTGGCCTCACCAGCACCCTGTACAGCTGCAGCATAATCTCCATCACTCTAGCAATCAAGGACCGTATTTCTTTTGCCTATTTAATTACCTGCTGCACCTGCAAACCAATGTTTTATGATTCATGCACAAGGACACTGAGGTCCCTCTGCACAGCAGCATGCTGCAACTTTTTGCCATTTAAATAATAGTCCATTTTGTTGTTATTGCTACCAAAATGGATGATGTCACATTTACCAACATCATACTCCATCTGCCAGACCCTTGCACACTCACTTAATCTATATCCCTCTGCAGATTTTGTGCACTTTGGCTTACCGCTCATTTTAAATCTTTGTCCTCTCACTTAAACCTGTGCCCTCTAGTTTGAGACTCTTCTACCATGGGGAAAAGACCTTGGCTATTGACCTTATCTATTCTCCTCATGATTTTATGAACCTCAGCCTCCTATGCTGCAGGGGAAAAATCTCCCAGCCTATTCAGCCTCTCCTTATGACTCAAACCTTCCAGTCTCTGGAACATCCTTATAAATTTGCACCCTTTCTAGTTTAGTGATATCCTTCTTATATCAGGGCGACCAAAATTGTGTGCAGTACTCCAAATATGACCTTAGTAATATCTTGTACAGCTGCAAAAAAAAAAAAAATCCCACTCCAGTACTGAGTGCCCTGACCAATGAAGGCAACCATGCCAAACTCCCTCTTCATCACCCTGTCTATCTGACGCCACTTTCAAGGAGCTATGTACTTTCACCCCCTAGGTCTTCCTGTTTGACAACATTCCCCAGGACCCCATCATTAACTCTATACGTTCTGCCCTGGTTTGTCTTCTCAAAATGTAACACCTCACATTTATCTGAATTAGGGTCCATCTGCCATTCCTTCGCCCACTAGCCTAGTTGATCAAGATCCTGTTATTCTCTGAGATAAACTTCTTCACTGTCCACTCTACCACCAATTTTGGTGTCATCTGCAAACTTACCAACCATATCTCCTGTATTCTATCCAAATTGTTTATATGCATGACAAACAACAGTGGACCCAGCACTGACCTTTGCATCACACCGCTGGTCACAGGCCTCCAGTCTAAACAAAAACCCTCCACCATCACCTCCTGTCTCCTACTGTCAAGCCAATCTTGTATGCAGTTGGCTCGCTCTTCCTAGAACCCATGTGATCTAATTTTAACTAGTCTACCATGCGGAATCTTGTCGAAGGCCGTGCTAAAGTGAATGTAGACAATGTCTGCTGTGCTGCCTTCATCTGTCGTCTTGGTCACCTCTTCAAAACATTCAATCAAATTTGTGAGACCGGATTTACCATGCAAAAAATCATGCTAACTCTACATAATCAGATCTTGCCTTTCCAAATGCATGTAGATCCTCTCTCTCAGAATCCTCTTCAACAACTTAGCCACCACTGACGTCAGGTTAACTGGTCTATAATTCCTCGCCTTTTCCTTGTAGCCTTTCTTAAATTATGGCACAACATTAGCCATTCAAGTCTTCCAGCACCTCACCTGTGGCTGTCAGTGATACAATTATCTCTGCTAGGGTCTTCGCAATTTCTTCCTGAGCTTCCCACAATGTCCTGGGATGCACTTGATCAGGTCCCAAGGGTTTCTCTACCTTTGTGTTTTAAGATCGCCAGCACCTCCCTTTTGTAACGTGAACTGTTTTCAAAACAACATTATTTACTTTCCTGAGGTCCCTAGCTTCCATGTCTTTTCCTGCGATAAATACTGATGAGAAATATTTGTTTGGATCTCTCCCACCTCCTGTGGTTCCACACATAGACGGTCTCGTTTATCTTTAAGGGGCCCTAAGGGGAAGAGGAGTTAAACAGATATTTTCCATCAGTCTTTACAGTGGAAGATTTTTCAAACATTCCATTACTACTAAAGAATACAGGGGAGGACTTAAGGACCAGTACCATCACCATCACTAGCGAAGTAGCATTAGTCATAATTAAGCGGGCCAAAGACAGATAAATCCCTTGGCCCAGATGGTGTCCATCGAGTATCCTAAAAGAGATAGTGGATGCATTGGCTGTAATTTTTGACAAGTCCTTGGACTCTGAAAAAGTAACAGAGGATTAAAGAACTGCCATGTGACATCCCTATTCAGAAAGGGAAAAAGGCAAAAAGTAGGTAACTATAGGCCAATTAGCCTAACATGTATTGTTGGAAAAATGTTGGAATCAGCTATTAAGAAAGTAATAGCAGTACATTTGGAAAATCCTAATCTAATCAAGCCAAAAGAACCGCGGATGCTGTAAATCAGAAGCAAAAACAAATTGTAGGAATAACTCAGCAGATCTGGCAGCATCTGTGAAGAGAAATCAGAATGTTTTGAGGAAGGGTCACCAGACCCGAAACATTAAGTCTGATTTCTCTTCGCAGATGCTGCCAGACCTGCTGAGTTTCTCCAAGAATTTGTTTTTGTTTCTAATTTAATCAAGCAGAGTCAGTATGGCTTTGTGATAGGAGAATTGTATCTGGCTAATTTATTAGAGTTTTTCGAGGCAGTCTCAACCAGAGTGGGTAGAGGGAAACCAGTGACGTACTTGCACTTTCAGTGTTCAACAAGGTACCTTGCAGAAGGTTGTCATAAGATAAGAGCCCATATTGTCAAAGGTCATATATAGGTATAGAGAATTGGCTGGAAACAGCAATGAGAGATAAGGAATTCTTCTCAGCTTGGCAACTTGTAACCAGTTGGGTTCCACAGGGATGAGTGCTGGAACTACAACTGTTTATAATATATACTAATTACTTGGAGGAAGGAGGCAAGTGCACTGTGGTTAAGTTTGCAGACGACACAAAAATAGGTGGAGAAGAAAGTTACAAGAGGTATGCAAACAGTTTACACTGATATTGATCGGTTAAGTGAGTGGGCAAAAGGTATGGAATGTAATGTAGGAAAATGTGAAGTTGTTAATTTTGGAAGGAAGACCAAAAGAACAATATTATTTAAATGGGAAAGAAAATTGCAGAAAGCTGCAACACAAAGAAA